ACCTCCCGGGCCCTCTGCCTGATCTTGTTTTCCCCAACACTCGGTTTATTTTCCTCCGTCGCGGGCACAGCCAGTTGCTTATTTTCTGCCCCATCCCGAGGACAGGGCTCCCCAGACTCTCGCCAACGACTGTGACTTTCCCGGGGACGAATTTCGTTCGAAACGTGGCTCTTTGCACGAGTACCCAGAAGGGGCCGAATGCACGATCCGGTTTCTGGCGGTCAGCTAAGAGAAAAACACAGCTCACCCTGGCGCACCCGCCGGACAGGGTGAGCTCTGCTTGCCCTGACCCTGGAACCCCAGCGTGAACTCTTTAGATCATTAAATCTGAGAGGGAACCCCTCTCCCCAGGCCCGGCATCCACTCCGCCAGGAGCCGGGGGCCTCCGGACCTCCGAGGTGCGGTTCAAGGTCCCCACTACACGCAGCAAATGCGTTTTGCGCTTGGAAGCCGGAGTCCCCGCGCGGTGGAGCGCCAATCCCAGGTCTGCAGCCAGCCCTCAGCCGGGCATTAATGGAGTGTGCAGAGTCTATTAAAGTGGTTTATTCGGGGCTAATTGAGCGTGTGCGAGTTAACTGCTTGCATTAATGAGGACGGAGCGAGCTCCACGAGCTTGCGACTGGAGGAGCCCAGCGGTAGCCCCAGAAAATCATCCTGGACATGGAATCCCCGACACGAGTGACGGGCGGCCGAGCCGCAGGCGGGAGGATTGTCCGGCCCGGCTACTTTTGTTGAATTTTCCCACGGAATGAGATCAAACGAATCCTTCTGCTAGGCTGCCATCCGCCGCATTTAAACGCCCTCTGCGTCCTTAGCGATCTGCTCCCCAATCTTAATGAAACCACAATCACTTAGAGGAGCCTTAGGGTGGAACGTCTACCAGGGGTCTCCCTCCACCGGGATCCCCTGTCCCTGCCAAGCCTTCTCTTCTCTACGAGGCTGCGAACCTGGGGAACAAACTAGCCTCGCACGTGGTTTCTGTTCCCAGGAGCCAGCACACAGCTCCTAGCCCGGTGAAATTTACCAAGTTGTGGCAACAAAGAAACTCCAGGCCGCTTTACACCCCTCCAGCCTACCCCGCGCTGCGCTCCTGGGGGAGCTGCTGCAAAGGTGCTGCCTGTGGGTTTTCATTCTCATCAGAGACGTCTCTGGGGAGAAATGCGCTCAGCAGGCCACCCCTCACCTCTTTCCCTCTCATCTCAGGCTCCCACCTCTCCCGAAGGCTGGGTTTGGGGACAGTGAGGGGAGCAAACGAATTCTTCCTTCCCAAACCCCAACCTGGAGACACCCGCCGCTCCGTAGTGTTTCTGCGGGGGCGGCGGTGTGGTCTCCAGTTGGGAAACGGTGCTCGCGCCCCCTGCGCGCACCGGACAGTGGTGGGTTGCACTCCAGGCCTTGATCACTCAGAGCAATCATCCCCTAGAACACCCCAAGTCAGAGCGCCAGGGCGAGATGGGTCAGGCACGGGGCCCTGCGCTCCCTGGTCGAGCCCCCCCTCAAACCTGAGCGCGACTACACAAAAGACAGATTCGCAAGAAGCGCGACCCCGCGAGGGGAATGCACCTGTCCCGGGCGATGGCCGCGGCCGTGGCCATCCATCCACTCTCTTCCTTCTCCGCCAGCTAAGTTCAGGCTGAGCGAGGCGCCGCTCTCAGGGAAGTTTGTGTCCGCTGAAGTTGCTTCATTTTCTTACAGGGACCCCCCAGGCTGACTTCCCAAATCCGTGGGCACCTCGCCCCGGATTTCACGGAGTCTGGCCCCGCTGGGGACAGTCGTGGAAGCCCGCCCTCTCATTCCCAGGAGGTCAGAGGCCGGGGACCCCCTGAGCCAGCACCCCCAACCACCCTCGGCTGCAGCGGCTCTCACTTTCGCCAAGTCCTGCAGCCTTTCTGGCCGGAGGAGCGCCCTTCGGGGATACTGAGAGAGAGAGGACACCCAACGCGCAGTGACAGGCGGCCGGGAGTCCCTCCCGCCTTCCCCTCGCCGCGCCGGGGCGCCC